AAAAAATTCTGTCGGCCCCTTAAGTGCGTCGGCCCACCGGGAAAATGCCTGGTATGTCCGATTACCAATCTAGCCCTGGTCGAGATACAATTATTTGAAAATCTGAAATCTGAGGGAGCAAAAAATTCAAATATTGAGAAAATCACCTTTAAAGTTGTCCAAATGAAGGTCTTAGCAATGCATATTACTAGTCAAAAAATGAAGTTTTGATATATTTATGGTAGGAAATTGACAAAATATCTTCACAGAAAACATGAACTTTATTTAATATCCTAATGATTTTTGGCATTTAAGAAAAATCTATTATTTTGACCCATGCAATGTATTTTTGACTATTGCTACAAATATACTCATGCTACTTATGACTGGTTTTGTGGTCCAGGGTCATGTATTGTTCTGTTCCTGTTTTTGAAACAGCGGGTATTTTAAGTTTTATTTTTTTTTAAGATTTATTTTTGGTATTGACTGGAAGGAAAGTGGTAAAGAGAGAGGGGGGTGGGATCAGGAAAGGTCTGCGATCCGGGACTCAAACTCGGGACGCCCAAAGCACAATGGCCCTATGTCGGCACGCTACCCGCGAGGCTATTGCCACTGACTGTGGGTATTTTAATGTTTACACATTGGCCTCATTCACTTCCATTGTAAGCCAGATTTGTATTTTAAAGAAAAGGTGGGACAAGTGGAAATTAATTGTTGTGGTAATCAGCATCATGCCACAAATGCTGTGGATTGAGCTTAACTAGTACCGAACCCTGAATACCAGAACAATGTACACTTCATAATGACTGGAGTGCTGCATCTTTAGCCAGCTGAGAGCACTGATTGGTTGGGCCTGTTAACTGATATATCTGAGATCTTAGCACACACTGGGATAAAGCCCAAACCCCCGGTGTTCTGGATGATGAAGGGCTTTTCAATCTTCTCATCGAATCTCTAGCCAACCCTGTCGAATACTCGAGAAAGAGAAAGAGGGGTCTTGAAACATGTGGCATCATGCCATCATTAGCCGTGGATGAAGCTGTTCGGTGAGAGTAATACTGTTTAAATGAAATTATAAGTGATCAGAGAAATGACCTCAGGGACTGAAGGCTCTCATGGCTTCCATCAGCTCTGTCTGAACCCTCCAACTGTACTGTACAAACACAAGCGAGGAGCCTTAAAAAAAATAATTATTCATACAAAGTCTTAAATATTCACAAATGCAGATACTTGAAAACGGTCATCTGCCTTTGCGCTTGTTATGTTAATTAGCTCAGGATTACAATGGCCATCATTTTATCGCCCATGAAAACGAATGTGACATACTGTATGCTTTTTTTTCTTTGCTGAAAGCTTAATTTCAAGTCTACATTTAACACAAGCCCAGTCAGAAACGGTTCAGTTTCACTGGAAGGAAAAAAAAAATCTTTAAGAGGAAGAAAATTTATTCAAGAAATGAAATGTAGTGGATTTGAATGGAGATGTTCTGCGAGGGCACCGTAAAGGATTAGCCCTATTCTTCTCAGAAGGTCGCTGACAGCTATTGCGCAAAAGTACTTGGTTATTTTCTATTACAGCTTGGACCGAGAAAAAATTCAATCGTCGTCGAGGTCTCCCAGTGCGAAAAGAAAGTCTGTGTGGCACTGCTGAATAGGGCTCTCACTCTCTCCATCTTCCCTCAGGCAGTCTATCTCTTTAGTTCTCCTGTTAGCTTCCTCTGCAGTTCTCCCTCGTGTCTGCTTGTTTTATCCAACACTAATGCCAGATGCCATGTCATAGTCTGTATTATTATCCCAAGGCCTGTACGAGCCTTCAATATGATTCCTATAAGGCCCTGCATGTGCCTCTGGGGCTGTTGCTCGATTCCTCCATCTACTATTTACTTGATTAAATGGGATTTTTCTTTATCAACTCTAATCAATCTTGGTGAGTAGACGACGAGAGAATGAAAGAAACGCCGACAGAGAGAGAAAAAGAGGAATCGAGAGCGAGGGCAGGAGGGAGCGTAGCCTTTGCATTCCCCAATCTGATTTGATGGGATTTACTTGTGACTATCAATGTTTACTCATCTGTTGTACTCTGAGCTATAACTCAAACAACAGGACACATATACAAAGAGAGAGAGCGAGAGAGAGGGTGCAAAGGGTGTGAACATAAATTCCACTGAATGAAACTTGTTAACATGCCCTCACTTCAAAATCACACTCATTCGCTTTGACAGTTTATGTGGCAAACCATTCAACTGACATCTGTCGCTGCCCAATGGGAATCAGACTGATGAATGATATGTGAGTATGTGCAACCTAACAACTAAAACACTGGTCCCCTTGCTTTCTCACAAAAATCATTGTGGTGATTGGGTAGGTTGCACCAGCCTATTTAAATGGCCTAAATGGACAGTTCACCAAATTTCCTTTCCTTTTCTTCCCTAAACCACACCATGCTGGTTTTGTCTGGCCAGAGGAGAACTGGCCCCCCGACTGAGCCTGGTTTCTCCCAAGGTTTCTTTTCTCCATTTCTATCACTGACGGAGTTTTGGTTCCTTGCCACTGTCGCCTTTGGCTTGCTTAGTTGGGGACACTTAATTTCTGGCAATATTGTGGACTTGATTGCACAGACACTATTGGAAGTGAGCTGAACTGGATGATGACATCACTGAATCTTCAATGAACTGACGTTAACTGAAAAATGTACTGTTTGTTATTGTCCTCTTGCTTTATTGACAAACTATTTTCCTGTTTGAAACTGTAAAGCTACTTTGACACAATCTGTATTGTATAAAGCGCTATATAAATAAAGGTGACTTGACTTGACTTTTATTTTTTGTTTATTGTTTTTTAAACTGCATATTCAACTGGGTCCAAAACATGAACATTTTTCGAAATATCTTCTTTTTTTTCCCACAGAAGAACAGGTCTTTTTGGGGGTGAACGCTCCCTTTAAATTGGGACGTAAGGATTTGTCACTATTTCTGTTTCATCGCAACAAAAACTGAAAATTCTATCATCATTTGTACTGTTTCTGTGGAGACAGTACAAAAAATAGATTTTTTGAGAAATGTCTCTGTTTTTTGTCTATACAGTGGAACTAAAAACTGTTCCGTTTCCATCAATTTTTAAAGTATCTTCTATTCCACAAAAGAAAGTAAGTCAAACAGGTTTGAAATAACATGACACCTTCATATTGTTGCAAATCCACATGACTTTCTTTTTTAATTATGACAGTATTTCCATTTTTGGGTACTATACCTTTAAGTGAATACTTGTCTGCACTTAAGAAGACTTGTCTGTCCATAAAGTAATATTATACTGCATAATATGACATTAATGTTTGTCAATAAACCATCTTAAAATTTGTATTCAGAATTGTGAAAAACTTTTCATTTGAGTTAATTTGGTTATGGTTGATGTTTCAAAATACTTTTGCCACAACTGTAACTGTAAACCGTAATAAATTAAATTTATTTTAAAATAAGGTACATAATCATAAACTAATTTGTACACAAATGTTTAAATGAATACTGGCAAACAGTATTTAAATTGGCAAGTAAATATGTATATGTGTATATATATATATACTATATATATATATATATATATATATATATATATATATACACAGTATATATGTATGTGGTTCTATAATTATTTAGACCATATAGGGTTAGGTTGCAACTAATTTTACTGTTCAAAATATTCTGTAGTGTATTAAGTTGTAACCTAGTGCTGTACTCATTTATCCTTTAACTCAACACTGGCCTCTGTTCCAATAAGGGCCTAATAATAAAAACTAATAAGTATGAAATGGATCTGAATGAACTTGCATTGTATTACACTGAGGCATTGAAGGACTAAGTGTTTTGACTGTTATATCCGATACATACACCTGCATGGACAGGAGATGAGGAAATGTATCAGTAGTTTATGCTTTAAAACACAGGTTCCCAACCCTTTTCCTGGAGGGCCCCCAACAGTACTCAATTTGGATGTCTCCCAAATCAAACACACCTGATTAAACTCGTCAGCTCATTAGTAGAGTACTCCATGACTTTAAATGGGAATGCTAGATGAGGGAGACATCCAAAATGTGTAGCGTTTTGGGGTGGGGGCCTGCAGGAACAGGGTTGGAAACGACTGCGCTTTAATGGCTGAATGGTATTTCATCAATAGCGCTGTGTGACGCTGGGATACAGTAAGATACAGTACAGTAAAAAACAAAAACTGACCATTTATCATCTGAGCTCACTAAATGAAACGCACAGTGTCAGTATTAATTACGGGCCACTGAGTTATTGGTTTATTAATCGATTGACTAGTCACCACATCTACAGGACCACCCAGCAGAATAAACACTTAAACATAAAAAATAATTTATTACGCGCATTTATTAAAAAAAAAAGAAATAAAATAAAAGCACTTAAAGTGAATAATTATAAGCATCTATTAATACGTTGATGCTCCATTGATAGCGTACTGCAGCTCAAGCTACTCTCTCCATCCACCGATCGTTATCCCGGCATAAGCAAGGCTAACTCACTCTCCAGAACACGCGCGCGCACGCACACGGTCGGTGCGCATTTCCCCCCCATCTTTGCTGTATGGATACACGCGTGTCTAGAGCCACGGACGGACAGCGTGACGGACGCACACCTCTCCGTTTTGCTCGGAGAAGCAGAAGTGACGGTACGGCACCATTGATTCGCAATACGGGATGAAGGGAGGGGGAGAGAGACGCAGAAGGGGGCTGTGGGGGGGGCATGCAACAGAGGACTGAGTGGCTCTAGTAAATATTTATATTGCATGATGATATGCGCGAGCAAAAGGAGGAGGGGGGGTGGCTGAGAGAGAGGAGAGGAGGAGACCTCGAGCCACCCAGTTATTAATATTATTCCACACCGCTAAGTTTAGCATTCAACACGTGTCGCTAGTGATGGAGAGAGTCCGGCGCGCGCGCGCGAGAGAGAGAGAGAGAGAGAGAGAGAGGGAGGTTGACGGTTGACGGTTGCTAGGTGACGAGGCGCATATACTGAATTTTAACACAAGAGCAGAGGAAGAGAGAGAGAGGAAGGAGCGGGAGATCGGTGGAGAGAGAGAGCTCGCGAAAATTGAATACATGTAGGATATATATTTCTAGGTGTATTTTCCCCGGAGAAGCCGCAAAAAGGATACATCGAGGGGAATAATGTGAAGAGAATGGAGGGCCAAAAGGAGAGAGGGGGGGCAGGCGCGTGAAAAACACAGTAAGTAACAGTTTAATGAATACTGCTGTGTTTCTGCACGGGCTTGACTGCGTGGAGCGAGGAGACATGGCACTGACAGTGCACTGCCGGCTCCGGGTGAGGGGACTTTGATGCGCTATATGTGGGAAAAGATGGATGGCACGCGATAGAGAGATGAATACGGCCGGCGCGCGCGGGGGTTTGACCCTTCTGTCATTGCTGCACGCGCGCACATATGCCAGTGCTTATAAAGCCACTTGTTCCTCAGTGAAACGACACATACTTAGACTTTTCTTGCACTCTCACTGCACAGGTACGCGCAGCGGTTACAGCAACACGCGAAGACGCACGCGCCTGGAAACGGCACTGAGACGCGCAGTCTGCGGGCACAATTAGTGATTTTCATAAAAACAACAACTGTGAAGCGACTGAATATTGAAACACGTTTAAAATGCTGCTTCGGTGCGGCTAATGATCGCGTCGCTGTGCTGTGCTGCGCTGTCAGGCTGCTCGTCAGTTGTGTATGGAAACTGCGGATTTATCCATTTTCCTGAGCACAGTTATCAGTGTCTCGTAGTGTATGTGTGTTTGATACTCTTGTTGTTTCAGTGCCATGCGAGCTGATTCAAATAGCATAGCGTGTTCATTTTCGAGTAGGCCTATTTATTTGTATTTTTTTTATATTTATAAACATTTAAATGAGACGAAGGAGACTTGAAATATCTCGATACACCAATTGCTGTCATTTCTCCAAGTCTGGCCATTTGCTTTTTAATAGTTGGGTAAAAAATCAGTGAGATTTATGAGCAGCGCTCATTATGTTAATTTCATATGAGCCCGTCATGGGCCCACAGTTTTCCTCCTGCGATATGAATCAAACCGTTGGCGTTTAGATGAAGTAAAATCATTTATGTGGGGCTTCTGTTTCATATTCCGTAATAAGTTTTACTCCCTCTTTGTGCCGAACTTATTAAAGCTGTTATGATGGAGCCTGGAGTCCTGCAGAGGGAATGTGAAGTCTTAATGTCCACCAAGACAGGCCTTAGATCAGTGCTGGCATACATCATACATTTTAGTTCATTTATATGTGTTAGTGCACTAACGGCATGTTGTGACCTTTCATAAGATTTGCTGTCTTGAGACAATTTTCAGATCTTGTGAGATATATACACATCCGGTCCTGCAGGTAAAAAGAGAGCGGTGTGAAAACATAATGACCTCCAAAAAAAGCACATTTATTGAACAAGGCATGTTGTGGATACTGGGCACACAAATCACCAAGGATTGCACACACACACACACACACACACACACACACAATGCAGTACTGTAATGCGCACAGTAATGTTAACGTGTCAATATAGCTTCACTCCAGCAGTTGGTCTTACAGCTGCTTTCCAGGGTTTACTGTAGAGGGAGGGAGAGTGCACTTATAAAGAAGGAAGGAGAGTGAAAGAGTAACCAGAATGAAAGCAGGTGAAAAACTATAATGCACTGAAGAGGAGGATGTAGCAGAGGGGTGGATACAGATGAAGCTGGATGGGGAGGAGAAGACCCCGACATAGAAGTGCAGTGAAGGATGGTGAAAAGAGAAATACAGTGCAAACAGAACGAGGGAGCAAGAGGAGGAAATGAAGGAGAGGAAGAAAGCGAAAAAAGAGGAATTAAATATCTGAGACTGAACATGGTTGGAGGGCTCAGACAGAGAGATGAGAGCAGCTTGAATCAACGTTTGCATTACTCTTTTCCTCTTTCTCTTTTTCCTCTTTGTGCATTGATTCTTTATCTTCTCCTTTACCTTTGCTCTCTTTCCTTTCTATCGTTCCCTCCCTTGGGCTTTCAGACTCTAGAGTATTGCTGCTTTTTTAACATCTCTTTTTTGCTGAATCCCTCTCTTCAGCATTTCTGTATCAGTCTCTTCATCTGATTACTTCCCTCTCTCTTATTTTTTTTATTCTCATAGCTGTGTTGATGAGTCCAGCGTGCCCAAAACTGCATCCAACTCCCCTCTCAGTATCCCCCATTCACTTAAATGTGACTAATTAAGGTAAAGCTCGTTAACACAGAACATCAATTAGTCTTTAACGAGATCATAGGCTGGTGTTTGAAAGAGATTACATTGCTCCTTTCTCCCTTGGGTCCCCAGCGGTTAGACTGGCTCACTATTGATAAAGGCCACGCTAATTTACATTAGACCTCAGACACAGTTTGGGTGCTTGGGTGCCTACTTTACAGATCATTCACACAGGACGCGTTTTTGTGTTTATGAACAGGACACTGAGCAGTAGAATTAAAACAAAAAACAATGTCTGGAGAAAACAGTTATTTTAAATAGTAAAAATATTTCAAAATGTTACTGTTTTTGCTGTATTTTGGATCAAATAAATGCAGGCTTGGTGAGCAGAAGAGAATTCTTTAAAAAACATTACAAATCTTACTGTTCAACAACTGTTTACTGGTATGTTAGCCTATAGTTTGAAGTAAAAATATTAATATTAATAAGGAGAGTCTGAGATTTATTTGCCAGTGATTTCACATTTCTTGTTTGTATGAAGGCTAAATACCAATAAAAGGTGAACATTTATTTATTTGCGCCATTTTTTTCCTAAAATATTATAAAGTTTTATAGGAGTAGGTTTCATAGAGTTAGCAAATCAATTTTTCATAAGTTTGTAGGTACAGACATCTGTTGTGGCCGTTTTTATGAGGCTTTTTTAATAGTGTTCATATCGATATCGGAATTATATCGTATTGACAGAAATTAAGAAATATATAATACCCTAGGTACTGTACTATAATATACACATAAAGAATATCAGCCGATATATCGATATCAGACTTTTTTACTCCCTAATATCGGTATTGCCGATATTAGTTTCTAGAACAGTGTTTCTTGCATGTGATGCAGCAAAATACGAGAAACGTGAGTGCAATGGTCACATGCATCCATCTAGTGCATGTTTACATAGAAAAACAATGAACAAGCAGCTCAGTAGTATGCAAAAAACATGTTTTGTGTGAACATCACCTTATTGTTATACAGCTGAGGTCGATTGGTAGTAAAGGAGCAATGGAAAGAGGAGGAGGGGAATAAAAGGAAGAGAGTGTTTCTATGATCCATTGTGGCAATGAATAAGTTCTAAAAACAGAAATGTTAGTGTTTTTTTAACAAGAAGCCAGAAATATTATCATATATTAAGAGAAAACATTAACACAGAAAGTGTAGCAGTCACTGGCATCCTGTTCTAATCAGCCATGAGTTTCCACAGGAAGCCGAGTCCTCCTTTTCAGTCATCTCCACGGTTACCGTAACCACGGATATTTTAGTCTAATTACAACTGCGGTCCTGTACAGTTACCATGGACATCCCTGCAAGACTTCCCTCGCTTCCATACACAATTCACCTGACAGCTTAACGTGAGCTTGCTGACACTCTGCAGGCTCGCAACGACTCTGATTCATTCGTTTCCGATATCCAATCAAAGACAAGTCCATAAAACGCTATTGACAGATGTAAACTAACAATGGCTGAAGATCAAGCCAGTGAGGCCATGTTTTCCATTGGGGAGGTCTCTAGTGATAAGACAGGTTCTGTGATGCTGTTTCTGTGAAGTGGAGAGGTGCAGAGATGTGTACAGCAACTGTTGGATGAAACAAGATGAGGGGGGCAGTGAAATGACTAATGAATAATGATGAATAATGGTAGTCCAGAGTGAGGAGACATTTTGGGCTGTATGTACAGTATTCAAGGTGCTGATTGATCATACTGACAGACTTCTGTCCAGTATGGTAATAGACAAAAAAGGAGAAAAATAAAGAGGGCATCCTTTTACCCCGAAACAGGTCTAGCATAGATATAGCTGTATTATTTTTGTTTAGATCAAAGCAAGAACAGAAATTATTCTTTGATAACTTTTAGTTTCACAGATGTTTTTGATATGCAGTACATACTAGTTTCTCAATATTCCTAATAGAGTGTACAGACCACTTTTTCACCAAAAGTATTTTTCCCTTAGGGATTTTTAAAAGTCTTCCTTAAAGAGTGATAAGCCATGAACCAAACCGGCCAGGTGATTCACAGCATTACAAACTTTAATTTGAAGCAAAAAAAAAAGTATTTGAAAATTGGACAAAAAGACAAAGGTACAATTCTGTAGTGAATGAATATGTAGCATTGTGACAATCTAATTTTAAGACGAATTTTAAAAAATTTAAAGATGTTGATTAAATATTTGGAAAAAATATATTTGGTTTATTGCAAAAATAAGCTTATGGAAATATTTAAGTTTGAGAGCGTAGGGAGACTGACTTTGTTATATCATTCACAGTTGACAGGCTCTAAAGTGGTCTTGTAGCACGGTGTTCTTGTCATGATTCTCTGATTGGTGGAGATGTGAATCAAGAGTAATGTAGTGTTTCACCAGGAATTCCACGATTATTTAAAATATATGTTGAAATAATATGCACTGACTGCTTCAACAAAAGCATATACCATGGATTAACAACCTCATAGCTCACAGTAGGTCTGTCTTTAAAAGTCTGGTGGTGTATGATCCTCAGTCGTTTAGTGTGTGATGGTCAGTTTTTTCCTCTGTGACTATAACAAAGTCGGTAAATGTATGATTCCCAGTTCTTTTAAAATCTGTTCTGATTTTAAAAGTCATTTAGTGTACTCCAGCCTTTATGGATAAAATTGAATGGGATTTTTGCACTCTGTTCTAAGTGTCTGTCTGTGTGTGTGTCTTTGTACTTGCAAAGGCTCTCCAGTAACGGTTGATGAGATAGCGATCCAATGTGCTGTACTGTAAACAATCGTAACTTAAACGTCCAATCATTGTCCAATAATTTATGAGCCTATAAGTTACATTGTGTCAGTCATCTTGATGTTTTTGTGTCTGCACTGTCTTGATGTTTGTGAGATGTTTTTTTAAGAGAGAGAGAGAGATCATTTTATCATTAATTTTCATAGTTACAAAGTAATGCTAGAATAAAACTGGTAGCAAATTACATTTCCACATTTT